GCCACGCTGAAGCCCTGTATTTTTTTCCCGTGGCATGGTACCGGGCTGCAGCCTATAGTTTGGGAGACGCTGGTCTAGAAGACATGATCTTTGAGGGAAGACTGAAAAAGTGAGGTTTGTTTAGTCTGGGGAGGGGACAAAACAGTTTTCAAGTACATAAAAGGTTATTACAAGGAGGAGAAAAATTGTTCTTAACCGCTGAGACTAGGACAAGGAGCAAGGGGTTTAAACTGCAGCAAGGGAGGTTTAGGTTGGACATTAGGGAAAACTTTGTAACTGTCAGGGGGGTTAAACCCTGGAATAAGTTGCCTAGGGAGACGGTGGAATCTCCATCATTTGAGATTTTTAAGAGCCAGTTAGACAGACACCTGTCAGGGATGGTCTAGGCGGTGTTTGGTCCTCCGTGAGGACCATCTCGAGGTCCCTTCCAGTCCTACGACTCTATGGGCCCCGTTATACCAAGGTCGGTTCCAATCTATTAGAATGGGTCCTGCTGTACTAGGGTCAGGACAGGGTGCGCCCCGCTAGACAGGGGTCAGCACTGTTACACTGGGCAGCCCTAATGTACTGGGCTGGGCCCTGCTATGCAGGGGTTGGTCCCAGTGTGTCAGTGCGACTAACCTGCTGGGGTGGGCACACCAGACAGGGATTGGCCCCAACATGTAGGGTTGCCAGCTTCCTGATTGCAGAAAGCTGAACACCCTTGCCCCATCCCACCCTTCGCCGAGGCCCCAGCCCTGCTCACTCCATGCCCCCCTCCCTCACGCTTGCTCACGCTCTCAGAAGTAAGTGCGACCCAGCATGGTGTTGCAACCCTTAGCTCTGTGCTGCGGGTGGCACGGCCCTGCCTTCAGAGCTGGGTGCCCGGCCAGCAGCTGCTGCTCTCTGACCACCCAGCTGTGAAGGCAGCACAGAAGTAAACGTGACACCGTGACCCTCCTTAAAATAACCTTGTGACCTCCCTGCAACTCCCTTTTGCTCAGGGCCCCCCTGTCTGGGAAATGCTGGTCTCACCTGTGACATTTCTATCCTAGAGCGTAAAAGGACAGAAAAGACCAAATTCCACGGGGGAGCCCCAATGTGACGCATTGGCCGTGGCTGGGAGTTTGACAGGAGCCTAATGAGATCTACCTCCAGGCTTGATTTAAAGACGTCTAGTGATGGAGAAGCCACCAGCTCTTCTGCAAAGCCTCCTCGGGCTCCAGGCTGTGCTCTGAATTAGACTGGAAGCTTTTGGGGGCAGCAGCCCTGGCGTCGTCTTCGCGCTGGCCACCCTCACCTAAGAATGACGTAACCATCTGGGCTTCACCTGTGAGCCCTGGACTGTGGCTGAGCCGGATTGCTGGGCCATGCAGCTCCTTGCCTCGTCCATACCTCGCTGGGTTGCAAGGGGAGCAATGCAGACCTGGACCCTGGTTTCATTCCTGCCAGGGCAGGTGTTTCCCATTTCCCCTCGCCTTTGCTCAGCCCGCTCGGCTCTTTGTTAACCTTTGTCACTTGGTGGTGGGTCTCTGTGACCCAGCACGGTCACCATGGGAGCAGAACAGGTTGCTAAGTCTCACACTGGAGTGGTTCCCGCAGTAACAAGGAGATAAAGTGGTTGTTATGACAATTGGAAGGAAGACGGATCACCATGGCGGTGGCTTTCTGCGTGACAGCACTAATAGTCAGATCGGGAGGGAGCCATACGACTGCGGGATTTCCCGGCTACACTAATACAAAGTTAATCTTGAGATCCCAGGATGCACCTTGGGACCACATCGAGGGCCAAAATGGGAGGGCGTCTCCGGCATAGAAGTAAATAGACGTACTGGCATGTTGGGAACCGTGCCGGGAGGAAGCTGAGCCCCCGGGCTCCATTACCCCCGAGGGTACCTCAGTCTCCACAGAAGGATTTGCTGCTTCTCTTCCGACCTGATGCAGGATCCCAAGGTGAGGTACGTCGCTTCACCCCATCCCCTTGCGTGAACCCCTGAACTAGAGGGAGGCTGAGGCCCCAGGCCTGGGACTGGACAAAGTCCTGGGAGAGGAGGAGACCCAGAAGGATTGCTTGGCGTTTGCGTGTGCACGCCAGAAAAGAGGAAAGTAACCAGCTAGCCTCCGGACGCAATAGACCGGTGGGGAACGTGGCCAGACCTGTGCTCTCAGCCCGGGACCAGCTACTCCAGGGCCCAGCGGGGGAATATTTCCGGGGCAAGGAGCCAAGTGGCGGTGTGTGTTGTGACTCCGTGGGCGAGGGGGTTGCCAGCAGCCCGCCCTTCGCAGACAGCTGCCCCAATGCTGGAGCGCAGAACCAGGATGGACAGCTCCAAGAAGGAGAAGGTAAGGCCTATTCTGGCACGTTCCCCTTAGCTTTGGGAGTGCAGCCTGGGTGAATGGCAGCTCAGCAGCTGGTTAGTCACTAGGCCCCATCCTAAGGCCGTGGGGCCCATCTGTGCACCTCTGCAGAAGGCAGATCTTTCCGGGGCGCCCCGGGCTCATTTAGGGAAGTCCTTGGCCATCATCACCCCCTCCAAATCCAGCTGACGTGGAAGTTGGCAGCCAGTTTTCCAAGGATGGCTCAACTTCTGCTGCCCGGCTCAAGACCGGCCACCCAGCATTTGGGGCATCCCGACTCAGACGGGGCCTTTGAACCGTCAGGCTTTAATTCCCTGGTCTGCTTGCGGAGCGGCGCAGGGGGCAAGAACCGGCAGTGCCCGGGCAGGCGGCGGGTCTGCTCCACCGGAGCCTTCGGCGCCCAGAGCGCAGGCGGGGGGTGCCCATGGCGAAGGCTGGGCAGCTGGGTTCTGCGTTTCCCCGGCCCCTGGCCTTGCCAAAGCTGCCGAAATGGTCCCTTGGTGCCGGGGAACGAAGAAGTGCGTGGCGAGGGCGAGCAGGGGGGGGCAGGAGCTGCCGAAATGGTCCCTTGGTGCCGGGGAACGAAGAAGTGCGTGGCAAGGGCGAGCAGGCGGGGGCGGGGGACAGAGGGGAGAGAAGGGCCCCAGCAGCTGGCTTGTTTGCGCTGTCCAGATGTTAAGCTGTTAATAGCCCCTTTCTCTGTGGCACCTCGTTTTGCAAAGGCTGGGCGTGTGTCAGGGCTGGCACTGACCCAGAGGGCAGGGCACCCCCTACCGAGCCCCACGCCCACCCAGCAGTGCAGCGCCCCTAGCACTGCGCTGGGGTAACGCTGACTCAGAGAGGAGTCCCCCACACTGCTCCTGATATTACTGTGCCCCCCGGCCCCCGATCGGAGCCGGCACCGACTCAGGAAAGAGAGCGCCCCAAGGGACACGCCCCTGACAGCCGCCGCAGGCTCGGTCCTCTGCCCAGCATCCCGCTTCCTTTCAGTTGGCAAGATCACAGCTGCTCCCAGGCGTGTCCTGTGTCCGAGGGCTCAGGGGCTCGGCAGGGCGGAAGGTTCTGTTCCTAGGATGGTTAATCCCCGGGAAGCGACACGCAGCTCCCTTTGAATCGCTGACAGGGTACTGCTTGGCTGTCCACTGTCCATCGTTCCTAGCCCCGGCGACAGCTGCCTCCTGCCCCGCCTGTTCCCTGGGCAGCGTTCCCTGCAAGCTCAGGAGGGATTCCAATGCTGCCCAGCTGATTAGCGGAGCGTCCTCTGCTAGGCTAGTGTTTACATGGGGTGGTGCACAGCCACATGTGCCTTGGTGCACATAAAATTTATTCTGCACATGGATGAAAATGGTTCCAGGCACTATTGCCCCTGGGGCTCATTCTGAGCAGCCTGTCTGCGATGTGCGGGGATGTCTCTCAGCGCCAGCGCTCGCTTAGCAAGCCGCTTGGGTTTCAAACCCTGTCCGTGGCTGCCCTAGACTGGGGATAGCCGGGAGGAGATGTGTCTCGTAGCGCTCCCTGCATGCTTGGCCCACTGACCTCATGCTATTGGCATCTGCTGAGGCACCATACGCAGCGCTTGCTCACCGTGTGACCTACTTAGAGCCTGAGAACTAGAGCAAATATCTACCCCCTCCCACCCACAGCCATGTGCCCCTCCCTGTGCGCTAGAGGGAGCAGTCGGCGTGTGCTGGGCTCCCCTGGGTGGCAAGCAGGGGGAAAGGGGGGACCCCAAGCCCCCAGGCTGCCATGCTGATTGGGGGCATGGTCTTCCCACCCCAAGGATTGCAACCCCCTTTCTCCTGGCCATGGGGCAGCCAGTCGCTGTGCGTGGAGTGGGCAGAGCCACCGATACCCTGCACTCGCCCACCATGTGATCTGTGAAATATTAACTGGGTGGCAGCAGGCACCTGGCCGGGGGGCTCCCAGCTACTCTCCCCCAGGCTGCCATGCTGATTGGGGGCATGGTCTTCCCACCCCAAGGATTGCAACCCCCTTTCTCCTGGCCATGGGGCAGCCAGTCGCTGTGCGTGGAGTGGGCAGAGCCACCGATACCCTGCACTCGCCCACCATGTGATCTGTGAAATATTAACTGGGTGGCAGCAGGCACCTGGCCGGGGGGCTCCCAGCTACTCTGGGCCTGGAGCACGGCTGGGCAAAATACGGCCCAAGGGCCGGATCCGGCCC